CCTTTTGGGATCCCCCATCATAAGAACTATTGCTTATGAGGATCTTATGATTAAATCCCCTATTGAGCGGAACAATAACAACACTGTTTTAAAAGGCATTCTGCGTCGTGTCGCATGAAGCCCACTCATGGAATCATGCTGGCGTTGCCAGCAACTAGGGAGCCTCTTTGGGGCCAAAACAATGAAGATGATAGTTCTTGGGGTCTATTTTGGAGCTCCCCTCTACATGGAAAATGCCATATGCGAAAGGACGCGGCCCCCACAGAAAGAAACCCAGACCCTATGAACCCTAACTGCATGTAGCCAGTGTAGCCTTCGTGCACGACCTCGCGCAGTCCTCAGACATCCCTGCAGATTTCAACCTCCAAGCCTGTATCTCTCACACACGTACAAGGATACACCCTATTATGATCAACTAAATAGATTCATCTATTCCACTCTTCCCCATACAACTACCCCTATACACATCCCTGAACCATTGAACCTGCAAGCCTTCATTGGCAAAAGGAAGCTGCGATTAACAGCAAACCTTGAGCCCTAAACCAAACACTCAACGGTAAAACGTTTTTTTTGCAACACCTTATACCGTTTAGGGTTTAGGGTTTTTAGTTTGCAGCCCGGCCTGAGAAACGGCCATGCCGTAGCCGGGCACGATCATCACCTTGCTGCTTGAAAACTCAATTCTGATTCACGACTTAGGCTCTAAACTCTAGCCCTAGACCCTGAACCTTGTAGAACTCGATACATTGTGGATAAGTAGTCGTAGTAGTAGGTGTGCTCGCTCATTCAAAGCTCTACTTCTGCTACAAACTAAAGTAGAATCAGAATTCATTTTGGAGATACTAGAGTCCCCATTTAGGAGTAAGGTAAGATTATGACCTTGGCAGCTGTTCATCCTTCTACAATCCCAGTTTTGATTTCCAATTTTTTTGGGGGGGGGAGAGGGGCGGGGGGTAATGATATCCCCGAAACCGATTTTTCGATGTTCTTTTGCATTTGATTCTGCAGCACTGGGGGTAAGATCCCTATGGCATGTCAGATTCTTGCCTCAACATGGTTCTTAGGTTCAGGGTTAGGGTAGGGGCGTCACGGGGACTTAGTAAGTAGGCCAATAACCCCTATAGCCTATAACCAATATAGTAACCCTAATTATCCCCATTATTAACCTACTTACTAAGTCCCCCTGACCCTCCAAGTAGGGTAGGGGTTCAGGGTGTGTAGGGTCTATAAGCCTCAGAGCAAGGGATCCATTATTGGAGTTCAACTGGCTTGCCGACTCCAACCCTAAACCCTAAACCCTAAGCATGCCGGGAAGCCTGAACAAACCAGGGGTCCCCATGGAAGCCTTGCGCCTTTAGAATCGAACATCGGGGAGTTTGTCAGTGGTCGCCAGACCATGTAGGTTCACTGCAATGAGTATCAGGATCCCTTGTACGGCCCTGAACCCTAAACCGCGAGACTAGGGCTTGTTCCGACAAGCCGCGCCCTAGCTCTCATTTAGCTTCGTTTCACTCTGGCACCTGGGTGGCATTGTCGAAATATTTAATCTTTGCGCGTTGGAACCAACATCTTTGAAAGAACTGAAACCTCCATATAGGTGGGTATACACACGAGTTAGTTGGGGAGATACAGGGCTTATAGGGTTTAACAAAAAGGGGTCCTTCGTGTGCGTGTGCATAACTAGGATTGTAAAGTATGCGGGCCCGCTGATTTATGGAAACCCGAGGACAGCCCAAAACCCCATGACCCAGGTATACGTCCTAAACCCTACACCCCGAAGTCCAAAGCCCTGAACCCTAGACCCTAATCCTGTGTCCTTCCGCGCCTCCTTGGCATCGAGAAGAAGGTCCGCAACCATTTCTGGCTTTGTCTCCCTGTGCTCCTGTTGATACCAATTGCAGAAGTGGAGCTTTCCAGGGGGGAGGTTTGTGTAAGACGTATATTTTGGGCTTTCTCTCCGTAAACCCCAACCCCAAATCATGAAAGGACCCATGCTTCAACCCTACAGTTTGGCGCATCAACCATACTTAAACCCTCTCAATCCTCAAAATCTGCTCCCCAATTGCTGCTCTAAAGAGTCCGAAAAGAAGTCGAATGGGCCTTACACACATGGAGCCACGAGCAGAAGATTCAAAAGCTAGTCACCTTAGGTCCCCCTATGGTAGTTGCCCTTACACATGCAGTTAATAGGGCCATAATATACCTACAGTATTTTTTGTGTGACTCATGACTGGGTGGAGAATTGACCCAACCCACACCCTAAATCCTAGAAAACCCAACTCCACAGCCAAAGCCCTTGAAAAGCCCTAAATCCCTGAACCCGGAAACCTTACACTCGAAAAATCTACACCCTTCATGCTAACACCTCTTGACTGGCAGACCCTCACCACTTTCAAGGCAGAGTTGTTCCTAAGGTCGTACCCCTAAAATGCTTCCCCAATATGGCCTCAATGTAGCCCTTATGTGATCCAATGTAATGCCCCAAGGTTTTTCAAAAGGATCCCAAGACCAAGGGGTACAACTCTAGTTGTTCAAAGCTGGCGCAAGCCCGGCTTGGTCCTTCACTTCGACCGCGCCCTCCTGGAGTTACTTGCCGGTTGCTGCAGAGGCAATGAAAGAGTGGGACTACCATATTGTTGGGGTTCTACAAGGGAATTTTTATTGGGGATCGATTCCACTCCCTGTTAACCAGATGGTTAAGGAAATGCTCTTTCAGGTCAGAGATTCAAGGTGTTGCTCTTATGGTTCGAGGTTTAGGGGTTCAAGTGCTTGGGCTTGGTGCTTTTTCCAGAGCTTGGGTCTAGGATTTAGGGACCCAGGTTTAAGTACTACTGCAGCCAGAAAGCCTCATGCAGTATGACAAGTTGTGAGGATCGAACTCCGACTAAGCTGGAATGTATAGGTGTAAGCAGAGGGGATACGTGATGGTGAAGCCCCGGAGGGCTAAAACTGGATTCATACGTCGAGACCGCAGACAATCCTGCAGTAGGACACCTTCTAATTTAGGGTCGGTGTCGGTGTGATCACTGTTCCTGATTAGTTCCAGACGAGATTTGCTCCTACTGTAGAGGATGCATTGGGCCAGGTCATTGCTCGATGCCATGTCCCTACACCATAAGGATCCATGCGTTCGTAGATGAGGGAACATAACCCCACTACAAAAACAGCTTCCATTTCATTGTCCATTCTCTTTTCCATGTGATTCTCCATTTTTTGGGGGAATATACCCTAAACCCTACATAATTCCCATATCATCACTATAAGGGAACCCTGACCCCGGCTCATAGCCTTATCTTCCTCTTACATGAACCGCTTCGCCAGAGATCCTCATGCGGGCACGCTGAATGCAAGTCTCCCTTGAACAAGACGACCTAACCTCCCCAACAACTCTTTCAAGGATCCTGTAACCCCCCAACACCTGTAAACCCTATTGACCTTATAGTCCTACAACCCTAAACCCGATAACCCCAAACCCTAAACCCCAAACTCCAAAGCCGTGACCAATTTTCTCAAAACAAGTCAACCTGAACCCATCAGTCCAATAAAGACGATCCTCCAAGCGCTGACGGAAACTTGCGGAGACAGAGATGAGAAAGTTGAAGTGATTCTATGGGAATACATGGGAGTTATGTAGCGTTCAGGGAATAATCCCCCAAACACAGTGGAGAATCATATGGAAAAAGAGAACGGACGATTAAATGGAAACTGAGGCCTATGTTGCAGTTATGTTTCTGACCCCTAACTCCAAACTCTAGACCCCAAACCCTAAACCCTAAATCCCGAAAGCGGACAGCGGTCCTTTTTCGGTGGCGCCATCTGCATTCCGCCGAAGATGACATTCAGGATATCCCGGTTCATGGCATCCTTTGCCGCTTCTAAGGTGTAGGGTTTAGGCTATAGCGCTTAGGGTTTAGGGTATAGGGTCTCGGGTTTAGGGTGTAGGGTATAGGGTCTAGGGATTCAAGAATATTTCGTTCAACACTGAACCCAAACCGTATGGGGTTTCGATCTCAATCCCTGTGCTGGGTTTCACCCAAACCCCTAAACTCTGATGGCTCCGAAACCTAAACCATTTAGGATCCTTACCCTCGCTCGAAACGGCTTTGACGCGCATCAACAAATCTTAACCTTCAACCCTTTGCCCCCCTAAACCCTAAACCCTAAACGTGGTTCAAGGTGGGTTGGGTATTCATCCCTCAGTATTCTTGCACCCCATTCAGAAAGTTGGATTCTCTCGCATCCTAGGCCCTTCCCGCAGAACCAGGGAGAAAGCCTACCATGGGTTAAGGGTTTTGGGGTCTTGGGTTTAAGGTTCAGGGCTGTTTCTATCTCTTTAGATACTAGCTTCACGACTCACAATCTTGTTCATGTACATGATTTGGCCCTAGACCCCAGACCTTAAACTGCGTGTGGGTAAGAGAAAGCTCGGCATTGGGCTTGCAAGCCTTGGATTGAAGCCTCCTATTGGGTAACCTCGGGCCCCGCAAATTAGGACCCTGTGACTATTAGAAGACCACAATAAGGCAATTGTTTTTGAGGGGGGTGGGCTTGGCTTACCAAAGCTCTCGTTCTAATTATCAGATTCGCACAGGCTTCCGGAGCACATGCTACCCCCAGATGGAATGCAATGCTCGATCGGTACATGGCATCGTCCATAACCCTGCCCAAAGCTAGGCGAAACTGGCGACTACAAACAATCAAGAATAAATTGAGACTTGGCCCAGCCTGGCATTGGGTACGTGGCCTAAACCCTGCCCTAAACGATAACAAGCCGTAAGCCCTAGACCCAAAAACCTAAGCCCTATCCTCAAGAGGCCCAGCGCCTAATCAGCACACACCATGGCTCCAAATATCTGATATGAACCTGCTCGGGCCTACACTACTGAAAGTTTTCGTGGGTTCCTCTTCTGCGCCCACCAAAACTACCCAACCCTTGTTATGGCTTCCAAAGGGTAACTAGGGCAATTTAAGGATGGGGGAACCTACGGAGGTAGCATGAGGGTGAATGCCATGATACCAGGACCCTTAGAGTATATCCTCAACCTATTCTGAGCTGAGGCAAGCACGCACATGATCTTGGTCAGAATGGCTCCTCAGATGTACAAAAATGGAGAGTTCCGGGGAAATTGGGGATTAGGGATTTGGTGATGTAGGGCTTAGAGTTGAGGGTGGGGAGTTGAGGGTGCGGTCTCAAGGCTTGAGTGTTCTTAGCGAAAGCAGACACGTCAAAGCCTCCAATGCACTCCCTGTACTTAATCTCGCCTTCTGATCCCCACAGCGTACCTACAGCCCAAAACTTGCAACCGCAACCCTTAACCCGAAGCTCTACATAACCCTGAATCTTGAATCCTAGACCCCAAGGCCTAGAGCCTAGACCCAAAACATACACTCCAAAATGTCAAAACCCAACCACGGACCCTGATTCATGAGCCACGAATCCTCACCACCTCCCCTCAACCCTAATCATCTAGTCCAGGGTTTAGGGTTTAGGGTCCAGGGTTTAGGGTTATAGTCCAAAAACCCTAAAACCCTCAACTCAAAAACCCTAAAACCCAAATCTTCCAGACGCGGCGCCGCTAAAGCCGATTAGCGAGCCCACCACCGTGAGGGTAGGGCTACCTTGGTGATGTGACTTTTAGGGTTATAGAGTTCAGGGCGTCTAGGGTTATAGGGTTTAGGGTGTAGGGGTTCAGGTTTATAGGTTTACGGGGATTAGGGGTTACAGGATCCGTAGAAAAGGTTTATAGGGATCATAGTAAACGGGTACGGGTTATCGGTATTTTCTAGCACATATAAGGTTTAGGTTACTTTAGGGTTTAGTTTTTACAGGGTTTAGGTTCACGATGGTTCACGGCGATGGGATTTATGAGGTTAAGCTTACGGATTGCTGTGTAGAGTGCAAGAAAGGCCTTTCAAGAAACAAAAATGAATCGAATGATTGTTATCAAGATCCTTTGAATGGGACCCAGGACTTTGAGAAGCACGATACGGAGGTTTCCATTCGCAAGAGCCCCAAATCTGAACGGCAACATACGAAATTCCATACCATAAGGGCCCCTCAAAATGGGCTCCTAAACCCTTAGCCCCAACGCTTGGAAACCCCTTAAGGACCTAGGCCTCTGGGAAAAAAAGCTGACGCTTGGCTGTTGGGGGTCCCGGGAAAACCACTGAGACAGTCCAACGGTTGATGCCCCTTTCAGAGGATATAGGGTTTGTATGGGGATTACATAGGAGATATATGAGCTACAGTCTACTCTCCCAGTATCCCCTTTAACATCCCCTATATAATCCCTTATACAACCCCCCTAGGAGCTTAGAAATCTTTAGGATGTATGACCCTAGACCCTAAACCCTAGACCCGATTTCAACCCAAGAAGAGAAAATTCAATGGAAAATCAGATGGAGCATAAGATGGGAAGTGGGGGTTGATAGGAATAAATGAGCTATAGGCAAAACTCCTTAAAGGGAGTTATATAGGGGTTTATATAGGGGAGTAGTACAGGGCTTATTAAGGGTATTACTAGGACTTTAGACTATAGCACAAAGGGGGGTTGAGAGCCTGCATGACACTAAGCAGTTTCTACCTGGGAATGGATGGAATTCTAGCGGACCAAGGTCGATGAGGATGATTCATTCGCTCCCCACAAGCCACATATGGGTAGTTCCCAAAAATGAGGGTTCCATTTCGGTACCCTTAAATATAAGGTGACAAAAATACATACCCACAGGGGCCCATAATATCTAGAACAACCCATATGCTTACAAATATTCTGACAAATCCTCGGCATTCGTGCTGTGAGTCTTTCATTTTGCCCGGCTGCCCAGCAGCATGCCCTCTGCGACCAGGGCCCACCCGGAGTAGGAGTTCCTGGACGGCGGGCTTGTTCTTGGCTTTGTAACTACTATTAGTACTATTGTTACTAGTACTGTTACTACTATTACAAGTTATAAGTAAGAATTTTTGACAATTCTTATTACTGCTATTCGAAGCTGATTGTGCAGATTTTTGAGGGTTTAGGGTTTAGGCTTTAGGGTTGAGGGATCGCACCCAGGATTCAAGGTTGCAGGGTTGAACTTTTGAGTGCTATTCTAAAGCTTAGGGTCCAAGATTTTGTCGCTCGGGCACAGTTCACGACTTCGGGTTCAGGATCGCGTTCTAGCTTCTCATGGACTATGGCCCCTGCGCAAGCTCTACCGTAGCTCTGCAACGTAAACTAGATCCCCGACAGTCTGATAAGAAACATTCCCAATGTAATACCATTACACAATGGGCAAAGATTGTCACATGGGGTCTGGCGGATTTTGTTGCCAGGGGAGCTGGATTATCCTAAGCCCCGGCCCTGAACCCCTTGGGGAGTCCTAGTCGCTTGTGCTGGCGAGGCGCAAGACTGTAATACAGCAGGGCATGTCACCCCCACCAACGCTGCCCACAAGGTGCACGCCCATGGCTGAAGAAAGCGCAGTGGTGCTATACCTGGACACAAGGCGTTTGACTCAAAGAGCCCAAGTCGATGGAATAGGGCTTGGAGGGTATACCCAAAGCATGATTATGAGGGATACTGTATCGTAGCTGGGTGCAAGCAACGTTTGCACTCCGCGAAACTGTCAGGGACCCCACTGAAGGGTAGGATTCGAGTTATACGCTAGTCACCGCTAGTCCCTGCCCTCCTACAAACTATCGTGGAACATGACAAGTGGCCCTTAGTAGGCCATAAACGGCATCAGAAGTCACCTATGTAGGACTGGCCTTTCTGAACCACTTACTAAGTCCCCTGGGTCTCTAAGTAGGTGAACCCTAAACCGCGGGGGATCCCAGAGGCTTAGGGCTCCTCCAGAGTTTCCAGGAAGCCTGAAGAAGTTGAGCGTGATCATGCTTTGCGCAGAAGGGATGGGGTTGGGTTTAGGGTTGGCTCAGGGGTAATCCCAGCCAGATGACTTAGAACCCCATTCATAAGCTGGTTACTCAGTCCGCCGGGCCTTCAAGCACAATCAAAATACAATGCATGAGCTTGGGAGCCTGAAACAGGATTCCATCGGAGGCCACTGGGACCGCTCAGCCATCCAGACACGCAAACGTCTACATCCGTTCTGTGTCGTCTCTATAAGAAGCCGCTCTAAGCAGCTAAAACATAAGCGCGAGTATCACGCACATACTCTTTGCAGCACCAAACACACAAACCTAAGAATCAACAACTCAGCGCCCTCCAACGGACTCGAAAAAAGCCACACCGTCCTAAGTTCATGTCCCTGTGGCCGGGCCTGGTCATCCTCGAGTAGGTAGAGGTATTGTCTAAACAAAGGGAAGCGCATATTGCGTTTCCGCACTCGACTGCGTTCTATCTACCTACATAGGACATTTCTCACGAGCATTGTCCCCTACAGGAACCCATGGCATTGCTAATTACATGAATCTCGACAATGGCAGGCAAGAAGGATTGCAAAATCGGGGACTGTGTCTAAACAGAAAACCTCCAAACTCAACTCCCCCTTAGCTACCCCTGTCAACCCCAGTGAAACCTCAGACCCAAAAGATGATCCACACCTAAGCCATAACCCTGATTAAGCACCCTAAACCCTAGACCCTAAACCGTAGATCCTAATCCCTAGACCCTCAAGGCCGAGTCGCATGAGAGCCGTGCCGAGCCCCGCAGAGTCCGTCGCGCAGAACACGCCGAGCATCCCCATCCTTTTGCGGGGTTTAGGGTTAAGGGTTTAGGGTTTAGGGGGTTTAGAGTCATAGGGTTGTATTCTCATAGCTACCCCCTGAACTACCGTAGGTTGTAATTTGAGAAAATTGAAAATTAACCTAATTAAGGGGAAGCTGGGGGGGGAGTATAACGGGGGATGGTAAGGAACCCATGATGTAAGATTAGGGCTCGGAAAGCCCAAAGAAAACTGAAACGATTTGAACCGGATTTGAGGCTCATCTAAAACGTCATTCTACGTTTCTCTACAGACTGAAGGGACAACTAGATGGATCCAAAAGTTGGAAGTGAGGATAAACGGAACGACCTTTCTGCCAAGAAACTGGGCGGCCGCCATGCCAGCGTTCAGCATGTTCCTCAGCCGTTCTCTCTTACACCCTTGCCCCAGCCAGAGGGAGTGGCGAAGTAGAAAAGAACATGGCGCTACTGCTTGAAGGCAGAGTGAGTGAGTGGACCCCTTCCAACCCTTGATCTGATCCCTTATAGGGGCCCACATAGTAGACCTAAACCCTCAGCTGGAAACCTAAAACCTGAACCCAAATGCAGCAACCTACGTAATGACAGCCTAAATCCCAAACCCGAAGCCTTGATCCTAAGCCTGACGCCTTAAACCACAAGTAGGGTTTGGGAATTCGGGGCTTCAAGTCCTAAAACTTACCTAAAAATCCTAGTTGACTATGATCGTGGTACAAAATTCTTGGTTCTAGCAGAATTGTTCGTATGAATTATATAGTCAACCAAACTCTCCAGGTAGGTCCTACACCCTGAATCTACACCCCCCCGGCCCTAACCCCCAACTAAACTCTCAGTGTCAGGTGGCTTGTTGGGCAAGTTGAAAGGCTTTGAGCCAAGATTGCCATTCAGCTTGCCTAGGATTTGGAGGATTGCGGTGTAGCGGATATAAGTTTGGGCTGTTCAGGTTTAGGGCTCTATGGCTTGGGTTTCAATGCCTTGGGTTTGGGCGGGTTGGAACGTAGGTTTAGCCTAAACCCTAACCCCTTTGGGGCTTGGTAAATCTGGTCTGAAGGGAGTCCTTCAGCTGGGCGTGGTCAAGATCGACGTTGCTTCTGGTTCAGGGTGAAGGGCAGGCTCTCCAGGAAATTCGTCCGCTTGCTTTATTGGCAGGGTCACGTTTGACCTTGTAAGCTACTTGGCTTAGTCTGTACAATAGCTCATGCTTAATATGCATGATAAGGCTGTCGGGCTTACCGTTCTAGTTTGCATGTGACGGCTTTAGTCTGCAAGCGTGTCTTCGGGCCTGGAAATATTCCGACCAACCAGACAATGAAATCTGTTCCAGGTTAGTGGAAATGCGAGCGTTCTTCAAAATGAGAACCACGCGGCGCACACAGCTACGGTGCGGCTTTTGGGTTCAGGGTTTAGAGTTTAGGGGCTTCAAGTTCTCGCATGTGTTTTGATACAATCGGAGGTGGCAAGGTCCGAATGAATGCACCTTTGTCATCGAGAACAAACTTCAACAAGCTTTCAGAGACATGAGGACTCGCCCTTCGGGTCCTCATACCGAGATTCCCCAGGGTTGTAGCATCTGGAGCTAGATTTTGAACGGGAAAAAACGTTTGGTCCAAGACCCCCACGTGAGCCTCATCTGTCTGACAACAGCCCGTGCGGAATTGATGCAAACCTGCTAAACCTAGACCCCCGTACCCCACTCCTTTTTGGGGGCACTTAATGTTGTATACGGAAGGTACTAGACCTAAATTTAACCATTCCAAGAGGGGGTTAGGCCATAGGAGTCTGGGAACCTTGCTGAAACCTTGAACGAACCATCCCGACGAGAGGCCGAATGCGATGAGACTGCCGGTGAAGGTAATTCCTGTCAGATGCAAACTGTGGAGGGTTATTCAGTTTGCGGCTCATTCCGGTTTCTACAGTCCGCCGTAAGTAGATAGAATATGGCTTTGGGTATATTATAACAAGATCCCCATATACCCCATATTCTATCTACTTAAGGGGGACTATAGCTTTATTACATGGTGAGGGATTCGGGTTTCAGCATCAATTTCGACTGAGGATGACAGGGCTTGGGTTAGGAGACTTGGAGAAAATCCTTTAGGAGGGGTGTCTTGATGAGACCTAGACGAGACGTGTGAGCCATACTCTAAACTCCTTAAACGGGGTTATATAGGGGATTATATAGGGGACTACTATAGGGGTTATTAAGGGGGATGCTAGGAGTTTAGACTACAGCTCATGTGTAAGCAAAACAGCGGTTGCTAGTTTCAAGGAACGTGCCTTCGCTATGTATTTCTCAAAGACCTGAGAAGTATGCTTGTTGTGAACTGTACGCGCAAACCTTCGGCTAGTTGTGGGCAAAGCCTTCTAACTGTTGCTCTGCTTCAGCGAACAGAAGCCTCATTCCAACTGCATTAGTAGGGCTTGACAAGGGAGGGATACTTGGGGCGGGAGGGGAGCGGGAGCATCCGCACGTTGTGGGAGGGAGAGTGTTGAAGCCGGTGGTAGGTACTTCAGCCATCAAACAGCTCAAGAAAGAATAGTCGAGATTGTAACGACAGAGAGGGGGTGACCTAGAATTGAAAGCCGCGCAACCCCCCCCCCCCTCATGCGCGAACCATTTTTTCAGCCCTCCTCGCAAGCAACCTGACTTAGCTTAAGAATGCTAGAGCCTAATGTAAAGCCTGGAAATTGCCACTACCGCTCTCTAGTACTCCCTATAGAACATACCATAATTTACCCCAAAGTTGTCCGTGGTAATGCTCTTTATTGGGTTTTGTGTTAGGCTTTACCGCGGGAATTCCCCCAAAAAGACTTTTGTACTGGGACAATCTCAAGACCTACAACTTTACATTCCTCAATACGTTTCAAGATGGTAGAAACTGCAGTGCCTACAGGTTCAGGGTGTTCAGGGCTTAGAGTGGAGGGTACAGGGTTTGGCGGGTTTGTGCTTGGCTCCTTATTAAATCGTGCTTACTATACAGCAAGAATTGGACAGGTGGTTTCGGTTATGGCAGAGCATGTTATGACAATATACGGACTGAAAAGCCATTGTGCTAGTGATCAGTTCTTGCTTAGGGTTTAGTTTTTTTACGGTTTCTGCCGATCCAGCGTTTTGAATCTGAATGTCAATTGCAGTTTTCTTGTCCATATCATGTTCTCATTGTTGCTAGTGTTCTAGTTCGTACAGCTAGAGTTCTACGTCTCAGACCTAGTCAGGTCAGGAAGAACTAGTCCGCTGGGTACATGTGACCCTCAACCCTAACCTCAATTTAGGAGCCCGAAGCCCCACCCTGAAACCTACATGGGACTCCACGTGCCGACTAGGAATTACCCCATAATTGGCTTATAGGGCTGCGCAGGTAAATCCTCAACCTCAAATTCGGAACCCTTAAGCCTATAGTCCCCCTTAAGTAGACAGAATATGGGGTATGAGGATCTCATGATAATATACAAGAAGCCATCATCTTCTATCTACTCCCTGGCCCCAAAAAAGTGCACAGTCTTTATTCTAATAGGAATGTAAGAACCCCAAATGTGTAAAGTGTGCCTACCCAGCCACTAAGTAGTTATAACGTGACACCTAATACAGAATGTTACAAGGTGGCGGGCAGTACCCAATCTAAACCCTAAACCTCAAAACCTGGACCCTGTATCCGAAGCCCTCACCCGCCACAAGCCTCCAATGGCGTTTCCGAGCATTGCTCCTACCTCCGAGGCAAAGCGTCTAAACCCTAAACCCCAAACCGAAAACAGGCCTGAGGGCTAGGGAAGGTCGAGAGTTTTGGGGTGTATAGGGTCTACGGTATTGGATTTAGCTTCTGCATTTCATATTATAAGAAGCCTGGCGTGGGGATGCGTATTCGAGCGCTCTACATTCTACAGTAGGGCCTGGATTAGGGGGAATAAGAGGCGGATTGTAGAAGGCCCTCTCCAGGATTTTCTTGCAGGTCATTCTGACAAAGTCCCCAAATCCCAAACTTTGAAACAAACCCTCAAACCTAAACCCTAAAACCTGACCCTAAGCCCTAAGACCCTAAAACCCAACCCTCAAAACCTACAACCTAAACCCAGTATCTGCCAGCCCGCGGCTCCATAGGGGTTTTGGAGGAATCACCAACTAACTCGGCTGGAGGAGATACCTTATAAGTAGGGGTACGTTTCAGGGTTTCCGGGGTTTTGTATTTAGAGGGTTCAGGGCTCAGGGGCTGGGGAATTAAGCAGTGTTTGGCAATTAGCAGACAACATGATTGCCAAGCTCGAAGGCTCTTGTTTTCGCAAGATAAGAAACTGCACCAGGAAGGTTTAATGTGCAATGAAATTGGTTTAGTGGAAATGCAGAGGCGCGGCAGGAATAAGTTGGAAGAAACTTAATTAAGCCTGCCTAGACGAAACACACCTTCTGCTGCTACAAAGTTGTCCATGTACACCGAAGGAACCAACATTGATTTTCTCCTGCGCCACTTCAGCAGCCGTATACCGCAACCCGAGGAATTACGGCATCCCTGAGATTCTAAACCCTAAACCCTATATAGTAGCTTCCATTTTCTTTTCCATTCTCCCAACAGAACCCCAATATTCTATCTACTTAAGAGGGACTATAAACCAGAGATTCGCAAGATTTCCTTCATCCACAAGACCACCGTGGGGAAATCCCCGAAAAGATCTGCATGGCCATCCCCTCTGAATTACCATGGAGACAATCAAAACACCCTCGCCGCACAGCCCTGTGCCCCCACCCAGTAACAGTCAAGAACCGGGATAACATTGAGGACTTTATGTATATGCACATTGCGGCTACTACCCCTGCTATTATCATGCAACAGCTACTGCATGGAGGCAATGTCTAACCTATACTCTAACCAGGACAAAGATGCCAGGGCCCGAAAAGGAGGCGCTCTTTCTTCTTTTGGGCTCAAGTACAGTCTGCGCCGGTGTATCCTCAAAACAACGGCGACCCCCCGTGTCGAATCGAATCCAAAAAAGCCGACGTAGACCCCAAGAGTGGGTAAAATAATAGCCCGAAATCCTGCAACATTGATAAAACAAAGGCAACTATTCTACATACTTAGGGGGTCCAGCTAAAGCCCTTTGCCAGATGCCTTGTGGCCCAGGGCTGCATGTGGGTGGATCAGGTGGCTTCCAAGGCAAGTCGCAACCTCGGATTCAACATGTCTCGACGTTCAACAGCACAGCAAGTCCCCTAAGGGTTTGGGGTGTCGAGTTTAGGGCTTACTTGTATCAGTAGTGCCAGGAAGAAATGATAGTTTCCCTAAATAGGGGGACTCCAGTATAGACCTCCAAAGGTACTCCTAATTTTGGGAAGCCCCGTATTAGTTATAGGCTTCAGGGCATCAATTCGAGAATGCTCATAGACTTACATCCCTAAAATCCAAAACCTCAAGCCCTGGGTCCTATATACCACAGTATATAGTTTCCACGTGCTTTACAACTGATAACTGATGTGGCAAGGGTGGTCCTGATACTGCTCTGGAGCATCCCAATTCCACTGTGCACTTTCTTTGCCATTTGACTCTCCGTTATCCCTAAACTCTAGACCCTAAACTACAACATCCCCATAAACCCCTTAAAAATGACCGAGGGTTTCCATTTCGAGAACTAATTAGAAAAGAACATGGACAATGAAATGGAAATCCGAGGTCCCTTGAAGGGGCTATAAAGGGATGTTGTAGCTTAGGGCTTATTGATCATGGAGAACCAAAAGGACAAGACAATGGAACATCAAATGAACACCGTGATTTTCGGTGCATGGAGTTTCTAGGGCCGATTGTCTAGGGTTTAAGATTTAGGGTTTCGGGTTTCGTCCCACTCGGAATTCTCCCCGTTCTGTAAGCAAAACTTCAGCCCCCAAACCCCTTCCATGAAAATCCTTGTAGCCTGCCACCCTACACCCCTGAAACTTAAGCCTAGCCTGCCAAGCCATAAGCCCTGCAACATAAACCCCAAATCCTGACTCTCACATCCCTCGTATAACCCCTATATAACCCATATGATTATAGTAGTTTCCATTCTATTTTCCATTATCCCCACATAACCCCACCCCACACACTCACAAGCAAAGCCCTAAAGCGCCAACACCATACCCTCCCAACAGCCTTGGAAGCTGACAAGGCGTTCTTCTGGATTTTGGGTTTAGGCTTTAGGGTTTAGGGTTAAGGGTTTAGGGTTTAGGGTTTAGGATTTAGGGTTTATGGTTTAGGGTCTAGTCTTTAGGGTTTAGGGAAAAGGGTAGGGGTGGCTTGACCCCGACGCATCTAAACACCTAAGCAGCTGGAGATGTGATCGGAAGCACATTTGCAAGATGGCCTGCTTTGTTTTCCCTCGACCCTAACCCTGTAACCGGGAACTCTCAACTCGAAACCCTATAACCATCAACGCAAAGCCCTAAACCCTGAACCCTAAACCCTAAAGCCTCAAGCCTAAACCCTAAACCCTATAACCCTAAACCCTATAACCCTCAACCCTAAACCCTGAAGTTTAGAATCCCTCAAGCCCCCGAGCCAAGTAGCGGCCGCGGCACCCACCAGCGCGTGGAAAGCAGCTACGGTCTGAGGCAGAGCCATGGGGCTCACAGCCTGCTTCTGAAATTCTTGTTGGTTTAGGGTTTAGGGATTGCTATCCTGTTTTAAAGGCGCCTCTTTTACTATTTGGTTTAGGGCTTAGGGTTTAGGGTTCGGGGTTTAGGTTTTAGGTTTTAGGGATTGCTCTCTTTTTAAGGCGCCTCTTTTACTATTTGGTTTAGGGCTTAGGGTTTAGGGTTCTGATTGTTGACATGACGATGTCGAGGTACGACTATTAATATACTGGATATTTCTACTGGTATTACAATTGAAAGGACTATACTATTGGACTAGTAATATTCTCACTATCCATGTACAAGGACTCTGACGTGGACCCCCAACAGTTCCTACTGCATTATTGGGGTTGTGGTTTGGGGTTCAGGGTCCAGGGATTAGGATTTACAGTAGGGCTTGGAGGATTTGGGGCTTACGCGCGTAAGGCAGTTTGGGCTTAGGGTTCAGGATTCGGGGTTAGGGTTTTGGGCTTGGAGGGCTTAGGGTTTAGGGGTAAGAGCTCACAAAGCTTTATCTGGACCGTTTCGAACGCACTTGTTGCAGGTTCTGCTCCATTGAGGCATATAACTCATGAATGCATCTGCAGGGTCAGGTAGTGCAAAGCTTTGGAGTCATGAGATTGACAACTTGCCTCAGAGCCTTCTGAAACCGAGCAATCTGGGTGGCTTGTCAATCATAATAATGGTCGCGTATGTTAGGGGACGTATTCTTGCAATAAGGACCCACAGAGAGACCATGACATTGACAAGCAGCTAAATGGGGGTTACAAGGAAATTCCTATATGGCAAGAAACCTGAACATACAAACCAGAGTCCCGTCTTCGACGCCTTCAAACACACAGCTTGTGGCATAGGGTTGAGAGCTCAGTTGTTTGAGGCTTCACAGATTTCGACAACCCCGAATCCACTCATTATGTGCCTTTCCTACGTCTTGTAAAGGGCTCTTGCTACTAGGACTACCTCCACAGTACAGATATATACTGCTAAAAACCCCACACCCTCAACCCGAAAGGCCCCTGCCCCTGAACCCTAGACTTTGAAAACCCTGAACTCTGCAAGCCCCAAGCTATGCATGTCCTCAAAGAAAGCCTGCATTGACCCTAAATACACACAATTAATTAAGCAATAAGCTCCATCCCAAAACCCTAAACCCCAAACCCTACACCCTAAACCCCAAACCCTAGACCCTAAACCCTAAACCCCAAACTCTACACCCTAAACCCTAAACCCCATACCCTAAACCCCAAACCCTTAAAAAGTCCCACGGCCTTGCCCAAGCCGAAGCCCGCTGCTCCACCAGCCGCCACGAGGCCGACGGCCGGGGCCAACTGGCCGGCGGGCAGGGAGGCCAGCGTCATAGACATGGCGCCTGTGGTACTTGGAGTCAGTGACACTGAGTAAGTAGGTTAGTAATAAGGAAAACTGCGGTTATTATATGGGTTATAGGGGCAACTAACCTACTTACTAAGCCCCATGACGCTCCAAGTGGGAACTGGGATCTAGGAGCCCTAAGGGTTTAGGGTTGACGGTTTAGGGTTTGAGGATTAGGGTTTAGGCTTTAGGGTTGAGGGTTTAGGGATTGCGGGTTTTAGGGGTTTACTTGGAGGCCCATGGGTCTTAGTAGCTGCACATAACTGGGATTGCAACCCTACTTACAATAGGGGTACACGCCCATTTAGAGGGGACTATAAGTATGTAGGGCTAAACGCCCAATACTAAATCTCATGGGCCTTCAAGTTGGATGGCTTGAGGTTATCTATACAGAATTAAATTGGTATTATGTATAAGGACTACTGGAGGATTACTGAAATCTTAGGTTTGAAGCTTGGCAGCTCTGCACGGCTAAGCTGCCCAGTAACTGCGGCTTCTCCCACGACCGGTAATCGAGGAAGGATATGCTTGAGGCACCGGGGTTTAGGGTTTGGCGCCTGCGGGACCTCTAAATCCTAAACCCTAAACCCTAAACCCTAAGGTTTGGGGTTCAGCTTTGAGGCATGGAGCCTGTGGGAGCTTCGGGGTCTGGAAGCGAGGGGTTCGGAACATGCCGCCCGTGCAGGCGTCGTTTGGGGCTGAGGGCTTAGAATCTGAGGATTAAGCATGTGGCGCCTGTGGGAGGGTGGCTTAGTTTGGGGCATAAGTTAAGATTGAAAACAAGACGATGCCAAGGAAAAGGCCGAGAAAATGAAGATCTGCTTGTTGCAGGTATGTATCCGTGTGCAAACGCATCTTTGCTACAGAATCCTTGTGTTCTTTGTACCACGGGCTGAGTCAAGAGGTCAGCTTTGCAGACATCGAATTTGGGGCTGGAGTGCGCGGTGCCTAGGGATCATGGCTTAGACCTAGAATGGATGAAGGAGCATGGACACAGCATCCCATTATCATGGCCGAAGGCAGGATGTTCCTGATTAACTCCCAAGCCCGAAACCTCAAGCAATGAAGCAAGTTCAGCTAGTGCAGAGGCCAAACTTTACAGAACAGTACGCCCTAATCGGCGCCTAACCCCTCATCCACAAGCAGCGAAACACGCTACAGTAATCCGCTACATGGTAGTTTCCATAAATGGGCCGCCCGCATATACACCCCCACGCACTACACTGCTATCCCTACAGTCTGAACCCCATACCCCAAACCCTAAACCCTAATACCCTAAATCCCTAAACCCTCGGATCCCATCTACGCTAAAGCACCCACTGCCTGTCACGCCCGACACGCCCAGCGCAAGGCCAAACTGCGCAGTTTTCTGGGACCTGTGGCTTAGGGTTTAGGGTTATGTCTTTTGCGTCTGAGGTTTGAGGTTTAGGGTTTAGGGGTATTCCCCTCACGCAACTGTCCGTAGTTGTGCTTTATCAGGGGGATATTAATAGTCCTGCTATTTCTTGCGGCAACTATTGCCCACAAGGTACTCACATCAGTGTGTTTCTCCTGTTTCTTTTGGGTCCCCCTTCCTTTGGGTTTGCTTTGGGGAGGGAATGCCTAAGAGAAAGCAAATCCTCACAGAAGAAGCTGTCTTGAAGGGGCTTGGGGTTCTAGATCAAACTCGAATTCGTGCTACGCCCCAAGTCTTCGGAAACCTAAACCCTACACCATAAACGACAAGAAATTATTTGGGCCCTAAGAACCCTCTTATTTGGGTCCTTGGACCCTTAGGGAAACCCATGCTCTAAGGTTGTTGCAGCATAAAAAAACCGTGCGGGTGTGTATTTTGTTCTGCTCAGGTCAATGGAGAAATGAGAGTATGGCACTAAAATCTAAGGTTTAGGGTTTTGGGTCTAGGGTGTGGGGTCTAGGGATGTCTAGGGTGAAGGGTTTAGGGTCTAGGGTTTAGGGTCTAGGGCTTAGGGTTCAGGGATTTGGGTAACCTCATCCCGCAAAATTAGGACCCTATGACTATCACATGTTGATTATAGGGTCTGGGGGTTTTGGGTTGTCTAATCCCCTTATTAAAGATGGAATCTTTGCTTGATGCTGGAACCCAAAGTGACAGGAGTGGAAACGGACGTCTTTCTTGCAGGAGCTTACGCAATAGCGCCGTAAGTGCAAGGAGTGAAAAAGACTCATGTAAGTCACTATAAGGAGGACTTCCACGATGCTTTTGGATGGAGGGAATATTTGTTGCGGTAGTCTTGGTAGCGGTAGCTGGAGCAGCTATACTACCAACGCAATCACGTCAAAATTCCAAGTCTATCAAGAGGAGTATGCCGTGGCAAAGACTTCAAGCATGACAAGTCTTGGGCTGTCGGGTCTGAACACACGCGTTGCTGGTTGCTAGCCGGGATTGAAGGTATGGAAAACAAGATCGAAACCACTGTGTTTCTGGTGGGGTTATACAGGTCTATCATACGGATTGTTTCCTCCATCCTCTACACTAGTACTAACCGTGCCAATAATGACAGACAGCTGTAGCCCTTGTTGAACAGACCAATTGCAGCGGCATTTGTCATTTTAAGGGCTCTTTTTGCGGATTCTATTTGGGTAAAAATTCAAATTGTACAGTTCAACGTGAACACCGGAATTGTGCCGTTGTTTTTGGCTTTATCATTGCCAGCGTTCGCTTCAAGCAGCAACCGCGCGACTTCCAAGTGACCATTCTGTGACGCCATGTTGAGCGGAGTCGTACCGTCCTCTGCAGCCTTATCCTTGTCAGCGTTCGCCTCAAGCAGCAGCCCCGCGACCTCGAAGTGACCATTCTGCGACGCCACCCACAGCGGAGTTGTGCCATTGTTCCCGGCCTTATCCTTGTCAGCGTTCGCCCCAAGCAGCAACCGAGCGACCTCCACGTGGCCGTTCAGAGACGTCATGATGAGCGGGGTTGCGCCATCGTCTGCCCACTTATTCTTGTCAGCGTTCGCCTCCAGGAGCAACTGAGCGACTTCTAAGTGACCATTCTGTGATGCCATGATGAGCGGAGTTGTGCCATTGTTCCTGGCCTTGTCCTTGTCAGCGTTCGACTCAAGCAGCAACCGAGCGACTTCCAAGTGACCATTCAGACACGCCACGAGTTGCGCCATCTGCAGCCTTATCCTTGTCAGCGTTCGCCTCCAGCAGCAACTGCGAGACTTCCAAGTGACCAGTTGCTGACGCCATGAACAGAGCAGTTCTGCCATCGGTCCTGGCCTTATCCTTGTCAGCGTTCGCCTCCAGCAGCAACCGAGCGACTTCCAAGTAACCATTCTGCGATGCTACCCACAGCGGACTTGAACCATCGTTCTCGGCCTTATCCTTGTCAGCGTTCGCCTCCAGCAGCAACTGCGCGACTTCCAAGCGACCCGTCGCTGACGCCATGAACAGAGCAGTTCTGCCGTCGGTTTTGGCCTCATCCTTGTCAGCGTTCGCCTCCAGCAGCAACCGAGCGACTTCCAAGCAACCATTCTGTGATGCCACAATCAACGGAGTTGCGCCGTCCGCTGCAGCCTTATTATCCTTGTCAGCATTCGCCTCCAGCAACAGCCGAGCGATCTCTGAGTGACCATGCTGTGACGCAAACATGAGAGGAGTTGCGCC